CAAATACATCCATTAATAATCATAAAACAATCGTGGATACATCTCTCTCATCCGATCATCTGTCTCCTAAGTAGCTTCTTCCACTGAATGATTTCTCCATAACACTTTTACCAGACGAACTGTCTTGTTCCTCAGTTCTTTATCCTTCCAATCCAATAGAGTCATTGGTTCCTCATCATAAGTCAAGTCCGGATTGATTTCCAAAGGTTGAGGAGGAATCACATGTGAAGGATCTGAAACATAATGTCGAAGCATCGAAACATGAAACATATCATGTACCTTGGACAACTCTGGAGGTAACTCAAGCTTGTAAGCAACCTCACCGACTCGCTCGGTGATCATATATGGTCCAAGGGACCTAGGACTCAACTTTCCTTTCTTTCCAAATCGTACAACACCTTTCCAAAGTGATAGCTTCAGAAATACCCAATCGCGTACATCATACTCCGATCAATGGCATGTTTGTCTGCTAAGCTCTTTTGTCGATCTTGGGCCGCTTTCAGGTTAGACTTAATTACTTGAACATTTTGAGTAGTCACATCCACAATCTCAGGGCCCACTAAAACTCTTTCGCCAACCTCTGACTAACATAGAGGTGTACGGCAAGATTTCCCATAAAGTGCCTCAAATTGTGCCATACCAATACTCAAATGATAACTGTTATTGTAGGCGAACTCCATCAAATCCAAACAATCATGCCAACTATCTCCAAACCGTAACACTGAAGATCTTAACATATCCTCTAATGTCTGAATGGTCCTCTCAGATTGTCCATCTGTCTGAGGATGATATGTTGTACTATAAAGCAATCTCATACCAAGATCTTCCTGGAATGCTATCCAGAACTTGGAAGTAAATCTAGGATCCTGATCCAAGATGATATTAACTGGCACACCATGATACTTCACAATCTGCGATATGAATAACTTAGCTAATCAGCTTAACGAATACTTCTCCCTTACTGGAATAAAATGTGCTGACTTCGTAAGCCGATCAACTACCATTCAAATGCCATCATAACCATTCTGTGTGCGAGGAAGCTTGTATACAAAATCCATAGTAATATTTTCCCATTTCCACTGTGGAACGGGAAGTGGTTGCATCAACCCAAACGACTTCTTTCTTTCAGCTTTAACCTGTTGGCAAATGGCACACCTACTCACATATTCGGCAATTTCTCTTTTCATACCTGACCAATAATAAAATGGTCTAATGGTATGATACATCTTAGTGCCTCCTGGATGCATCGCATATGCCGAAATATGTGCTTCATCCAAAATTCTTTCTTTAATTCTGAATTATTCGGCACATACATCCTACTTTCCTGCATAAGCATGCCATCAGTTTCTTGAATCTCAAAATCTTTCTTTTTGCCTTGATTCCTTGCTTGAATTATTTCCTGGGTCTCCTCATCAATCATCTGAGTCTCAAGCACATGATCAATTAAAACTGGCCTAACCTGGAAATTAGCAAGCAAGGCTTCTCCTCGATCTTCCACTCCTAGCTCCACTCCAGTGGACCTTAAATTTGCTAGAAAAGGAACATGACAATCATAAATGGCATTAAGTCTGGCTGGAGTCTTTCTACTCAGTGCATCAGCCACTGTATTTGCACGACCAGGATGATACTCAATCATGCAATCATAGTCACTAAGCAATTCAATCCACCTCCACTGCCAAAGATTAAGGTCTCTCTGGGTAAACAGATATTGGAGACTCTTATGATCTGTGAAGATCTTACATTTCTCACCATAAAGATAATGTTTCCAAATCTTCAAGGCAAAGATGATAGCTGCTAATTCCAAATCATGTGTAAGGTAATTCTTCTCATGAGGCTTTGTCTTGAAGCATAAGCAATTACACTACCATGTTGCATTAATACACAACCCAAACCATTCAAAGAAGCATCACTATAAACCTCATAATTACCGCTATCATCTGGAAGCGCTAGAACAGGAGCATGAGTAAGATAATACTTTAACTGCTGGAAACTTTGCTCACATTTATTATCCCACTCAAACTTAACCTTCTTGCGCGTCAACCTCGTCAATGGCAAAGCGATCACTGAAAAATCCTTAACAAACCGTCTATAATAGTCTGCTAAGCCAAGAAAACTCCGTACCTCAGTGACGGTTCGAGCTTACTCCCAATTCTCCACAGCTGCTACTTTATGAGAATCCATTTGAATGCCTTGAGCAGAAATGACATGTCCCAAAAATGCCACTTGATTAAACCAAAATTCACATTTGCTAAACTTAGCATATAGTTGGTGTTCCCTCAAACTGCTCAACACTAATTTCAAATGTTTAGCATGCTCAGCCTTAGACTTAGAGTATGCCAGGATATCGTCAATGAAGACAATAACAAACTTGTCTAAATATGGCTGGAACACTCGATTCATCAAATCCATAAAAGTTGCTGGTGCATTAGTTAACCCGAATGGCATCACAAGAAACTCATAATGACCATATCGAGTCCTGAATGCGGTTTTAGGGACATCTTCATTTTTAATCTTCAACTGATAGTATCCCGACCTCAAGTCAATCTTAGAAAATACGCAGGCACCTCTGAGTTGATCAAATAAATCATATATACGAGGCAATGGATAACGATTCTTAATGGTTACCCGATTCAATTACCTGTAATCAATGCACAACATCAAAGTTCCATCTTTCTTCCTCACAAATAAGAATGGGCTCCCCAAGGTGAAGTACTAGGCTGAATGAAACCTTTATCCACTAACTCTTGCAACTGCACTTTCAATTCTCTTAATTCAGCAGAAGCCATTCTGTAAGGAGTCAAAGATATAGGATTCGTACCTGGAAGCAAATCAATAACAAACTCCAACTCTCTATCTGGCGGCAATCCAGGCAGATCCTCAGGGAATACATCCGGAAATATCTGACCACACGAACATCCTCCACACTACTAGGAGTATCATCATTCAGCACCACATGAGCCAAATATCCCTGGCAACCTTTCAACAATAGTCTATTTGCTTTCATGGCTGAAATAATACCATGCCTCACCCCACTAGGCTCTCCTACAAATGTAACTTCAGGTAATCTAGGACCATGAAATGTGACTGTCTTCCCATAACAATCTATCTTGGCACGATTATAGTGCAACCAATCAGTGCCCAAAATCACATCAAAATCCATAATATCCAATGGCATAAGATTAGCCGACATAATAATACCCTCTACTATCACTGGACATCCTGGATATACCCGATCCACAAAATAGCTATCCCCTCTAGGCATAGAAAATTCTAAATTATATCCTATAGGTGTAGGATGAGGTCGTGTCACTTGAGCAAATGTATGAGAAATAACAGAATGTGTAGCACCACAATCAATCAACACTCTAGCAAAATTACCAAGAATATTTAACGTACCTATGATTAAATCTGGATTATTCTAGGCATCTTGTAGTGACATGTTGTGGATATGTGCCTGGTTCTGATGTCGTCTACCGCGACTTCTCTTGGCGTGAACACTACGTCCCTGCCTCTGTTGACCCGACTACCTCGAAGATCCTGCACTGCTAGCAGCAATCTCTCCCTGCTGGGGCTGTCCCCCTTGGTACCACTAAGATCCACTGGCTGAATGTGGCTGATAAGACATAGATCATCCCTTATACTAAGGATACCCACTCTGATACTGAGGATCCTGAGAGTACTGCTGCTGACCTGAGGTGTAGAGAGCGGCGTCGCCCTAGTAATGGTAGACACCTCCTTGTCCAGTCTGAGTACAACCACCAGATCCTGAAGCGTGCTGGGTAGGTGCAGGTGGGGGGAATGAAGGCTGCTGGGGTCTCTGCTGACTCTGAGGGCATTGAGCAACCCTATGACCCATATGTCCACAAGTAAAACATACATTGCCACCTCTCATACACTCCCCAAAATGCCGATTATTACACCTGCGGCATAAGGGAGCACCAGATCCACCTGAGCCACCAAAATCTCTCTGTCTCTGGAACCTCGGACCTCCAGTGAATCTACCACCTCTCTTCTGCATGTTAGTACTCAATCCTCCGCTAGAAGAGCTAAAACTGCCACCACTTCTCTTAAAGTTCTGGGTCTTGCGGGGTCCCTAAAATGCTTGCCCTTTTCCTTTGTCATCTCGTCCCTGGCCCCCATTCTTTCCTTCCTCATCCTTACATTCACTAGGCATGTTCTCTGAGGCCTCAATCCTCAGTAGAATCTCGTAGAACTCCTGGTAAGAGGCACAGTGAGTCGATGTCACTATGGAACGCCATTTCTTCTTAGTACCCAAACTGAAACGGCGAAGCATCTCTACCGGATTAGCAGCAACCTCCAGATCATATCTCGACAGATCAGTAAACATCCTGTAATACTCATTAACGGACATCTTTCCTTGCCTCAGATGAGTAAACTCTTGTTTCTTAATATCGATATACGCAGGAGGAATGAACCTTTTCTGAAACCGCTCCTCAAACACTCCCAAGTCCATAATCTCCTCTAGGGTCATCTCGTAAGACTCCTATCTCCACCAAGATGCAGGCTGTTCTCCCAAAAACTAGGTAGTCGTCTCGACCCACCTATCAGGAAGAAAATTCCCCTGACTCTGCATCACCTGAAAGGTCTTCTCCACATGATTCAACCATTATTCCGCCCCCTCATGACCTTTATTTCCCATGAAGTGAGTCAACTTCAGATTATGAACTGTCTCAAGAGGTGTCCTCTGAGGAGTATGAAATGTTGTCTGAATGGCAGAAACTATAGCTTCCCCTAATTGAGCAATATCAGCGAAACTAAATTTAGCTGGTTGACGGGGCTCTCTATGAGACGGCAAAGTTCTGACATGTGCGTAAGCAATTCATGCAAGAAATGGAGTTTGGTTTGGGTCCACATGGGTGAGAAAACCATCAACCGGACCCAACCCAATAAATAATCTCGTTGAAGTCATGTTGAGTTTGTGCAGGTTTTTACTTTATTCTAACCCAATAAATATACACGTACACATTTTGCCATAATATATCTCCTTGTAGTTTTAAGAAAAATATTTTGCTGATCATGTTCACGTACATAGGTGTTTTTGAGATGCGAATTATGAGCTGGAGTTATTTTTATTTATACACACATCTAGACATAGCTCACAGAAATAATAATCAAGCATAACACTATTTTGCTGATCATAGTTGTTTACTTAAAGATCTCCATCACCCAAAGGCTGGCGACAAAACATTCATATTTAATGCCACTAAATCCAGCACCAGTTGCCAAAGTCATGAACTCTTCTCGGCTCCGCTCCTTTCCTCCCCTTTTTTGACTCAGCATAAGCACATCAAGTAGGGAGGTGCTCTTCACGGCGGTGCTAGTCTCTGGCATCACTGGAACAAGTGCTTCCACAATAATCACTTTTCCATCGTCTGGAATAGCGTTGTAACAATTTTCCAACAGCTTTAGGCAGTGTTGGTCACTCCAATTGTGAAGTACCCACTACAAATTTATCGAAAGATACATTGTAACCATTGTTCGTATGACCTCAAACTGAATAGGAAAACAAAATTAATGCTCGGGAAAATGAAAATTAACCTTCAACAAAATGGCATCCCCAGATGGAACACTTGTAAACATGTCTCCTCCAACATGTTCCACCCCTGCAAAAATAAATTAATTCCTAAATTAATTCCTATCTTCTCTATGTATAAAGCCAGAACTTCCTTTTGGTCAATTCCTGCTTTATCTTTTAAGTCCTGAAACAAATTTTAGCTTGCGGCACTGATATTTGTTTTATACGCCCGTCTATTTTACATGACTCGATCGAACTTTCACCTAAATGTACAAGTGCAATTCTACTAGAAGTCTGCATAACTCTATCATCTATGTGGGGTCTGTCGAAACATTCAAACTCAACAAATGTTACAGAATTCCATATTCAATACATGATAATGTATTGAAAGCAGGAGAATTGTCACGAGAATCAATTAAAATAAGTGACTAATTAAGAAATTTTTGTTGTTGCTCTACCCTTCAAAGTACTACACTATGGCGGAGGGACGAAGAGACAAGGATTGGCCTAGGGCGCCTATACTGACCTTTTCTTTTCAACCCTCCTCCAATTATCATGCTTCATACATTTACAGTCATGCTCTTATTTGTCAACAATGCAACAAATTTAAAAATATTATTTCCTAATTCCAAATGCCAACTTCCAAGTCTGGTTACATCCCACCACTATTATTATATTTATATGACATCAAATTAATAATCTTTGACATTTGATAAACCACCTTAATTAGATGGTGGTCCTCTCCCTAGACTATAAATACATCCACCCTTCACCATAACAAGGGGGGAGATCCATCCAAAGACACATTCACACGGACAGTTTAGGGAGAAGGGAGGAAGACACATTCTGCCGCAAGGCTGAGTCTTTTCTTCTTAACCATTCTACACATTCCCTCAACAAAAACACAATTCCATGCACCTTCATTTCCCTTTCCTTGCCGTGACCTCCATCCAACCTAAACACATTCAGCCATTCCCTCCATATATCCATACGCATCCATCAAACTACACCTTGTGCCGCAACAAAGAGAAGAAGGAGGACCCTTGGACGTGCTTGCTATTCAAGTTGGATTGTTGAAGCTTTTTTAGGTGTTTTCATTCTTTTGTTTTCAATGTCTAAATTTGTTTATCTTTGCTTTGTGAGTATGAGGAACTAAACCCCCCTTAGCTAGGGGGGAATTCGAAACCATGTTCATGCTTGCAATATGATTTGATTACTTTCAGTTGTGATTCATAAGTTGTGAATTCAATTTACTTATCCATTTGAATTAAAACTGATTTGTGTGTGTTGGTTGAGAGTGCACGCTTAATTTTCATGCATAAATCTGATGCTAGGATATAAGGGAGTTTCACCTAATCGTTATGAACTTATATTCACAAGTAGTGAAGGTTGCTCATCACAACCGTGTTAAGTAAATTCTTGGCATAAGTTTTATGCAATTCATAGTTACAAGTGTTTCGTCAATGCTTATGATTTTCATAGAACTTAATGATTCTTGCTTGTATCTTTATTATGCAATTCATGTAGGGAACTTGTGGGGAATGATTTGGGTTGTTGTATGCAATCATCAAATTCAATTAAATTAGGAAAATCTGAGGGTTAATTAGTGCAATTCACAGTTAATCTGGGGCGTTGAGAATTCATGGTTGATTGAAAAGCAACTGGACATCGTTTTGTTTGCAAGTGTGTCATGTGTGGAGAAGAACCTCCTAGCTAACCTATCATCCATAGTTTTACCCAAATTCGTGCAGATTTCATTAGTTCTTTAATTTACTTGTTTTGTTTTCAATTTCGTCAAAACCAAACCCCCCCCCCCTTTACCTTGTTGATTCATATTAGTTAGAAATTGATTTAGTTTTTGTTTTTTAAGTGTTTCGAACCAAGTTAAAACCAAAATTCGTCCAAAAGTGTGTTTAAAATCCAAATCTGCCCAGTTTGTGTTTTTAGGCAGATTGGGGCGTTTTTAGCTTATTTTGAGTCTTTTGAGTTTGTTTTGAGTTCGTTGAGTCTAATTTAGTGTTTTTAACTTTGTTTTTATGTTTTAAAGTCAGTTTAGAGGTTATTAGCAAGCCCTCCTAATCCCCGGTCCAGAACGATCCTTACTTACATTCTTTACTACAATTGTCCAGAACGATCCTTACTTACTTTTCTAGACGTGTCAGTGCCTGTCACATGCACACTCAGTGCATGTCGAAGATTTCTTGTGAAATAGAAGACACGTGAAGTTTACTGTTAAATCATCCAACGGTTGCTAACAAGAGTGAAAGAATAGTACCGGTTATTAATTCCTATAAATGTCAACCTTCACCCTCCATTGCAAGGCAAACATACATAACCTTTCTTCATCTCTAAGAATGTCTTCCCAACGAAGCATTTCGAGTCACTCAGTGTTCCTTATTCCTTGGGATACCTCTGCAAACAACTCATCCAAAGTAAAAGTATTTCATATCATGAAGGTTGAAAGCAAGAGTATCTCATATCATGCTTTCTCCCTGTCCTTCTCCTTGTCGTTGTTTTCATCTGCGGGACAAGGAGAAAGAGAGCAATCAGCCAGCACTTGGTATCAATCTTCCGATCTGAAACCGACTACCTGGAACCCCTTCCTGATTGCTTACCTAGCCTTGCTCTCGAGTACTCATCTTTAACATCTTATGCTTCTTCTTCGTCTACCACATCTGCCTGGGGAACAGATAAGGGAAGTGAAAATGATACCTCGAAACATGTGGAGACAATATGCTAATTCATCCTCAGCTAGGTACAAGGAGAAAGAAATCAAATGGTGGGCACTTGGAAAGATTGAAGAAACAAACAAGCCATCACCTCTACCTCGTGCCTGCTTGCTGTGCAAAAGAAACAAGCAGAGAAGAATACAGACTGCACAATCAAATCAACCCAACAGAATGAGTCTGATTTGAAACCAAGGAACTCTGATATTCCTCGCTCAGAATTCCAAACCAGTTCGAGATCAAAGCTGTGGAAAGTCGCCAAGATCATCTATCTCCAAAACCATATTTGCATTCTTAAACTCTACTCTGTCTGGTTTTTACTTTACCATACTTGTCATGTTTATTCGTTGTTTGTTTGCTTGTTTTTGTGTGAATTTATGCTTGAAACATTGAGGACAATGTTTGATTTAAGTGTAGGGGTAACCAAGTTGTTTTGCATGAAATTCGTAGGAGTTTATCACCCATTACTTCTAGTGTTGTTCCTTGTTGTTTTTAAGTGTTTTTAAGCTGTTTTGGAGTGTTTTAGTGTGTTTTGACATAAAAATCCAAAAATCTCATAAAAAATTGAAAAAAAAATTGTTTTGAAAAACCCAAAAATAGTTGTTTTTATGTGTTTATTTGTGTCTTAGGGCACCTTCCAACACAATGATGAGGATTTGTTTTTTAATTACATGAATGTTAAGGAGAGATAAACATGGATGAAAATTGATTTACTCTTTGGTGTATGCTTGGTTGTGGTTATAATTTATGAATTCACATGCAATCATAAAGGAAAAATCAGTTTTTGTAACATGCTTGAAGGAATGAACTCAAATGAACGCTACAACCTTGTGAGACTTGAGCCTAAACGTTTATTTAGAGAGTTAATAATCTGTGCATCATTGTTTTCTAAAGTCGTTGCATGATCTCATTATTCTTTGTTTGGTTGCTGCTTAGAAGGCGTTTCATCATTTAGTTCCAAATGCTAGAACTCATGCCTATTTCATTCAAAGCTTGCTATTGATTTGCATAACACATATTCAAGATGAAGTTGTGTAGTGACCACCAAAGCCGAATTGCCGTGCCCCTATTTCATTATGTGTTTAAGTTTAACCCCGTTGAGCCTCGTTAAGCCTATGTTCTTTGTTAACCCACACTATCCTTACCTAGCCTAGTTTTAGGATCATCCATACCCTTGTTCTTGAAGCATAGTAAAGCATGACCTAAAATGTACTCCTTTTTTATCAATGTATTGTAGAAAGCAAGTGTGGGGGAAGTGATTTTTGTGTGTGTGTGTGTACCAAAGTCCTTAATAAGGCACGGGTAGAGAAAAGAAAAAAAAAGAGTTCTAAAGTGTTGTTTGTTAAAAAAAGGTCCAAAACATTGAATTCAGCCCTAAGTGTTGCATGAATCTTCCCTTTGTATGTAAAAGTTGATTCTGCATTCTAAAGTGAATTCCAAGGGTCTATTTCATTGCTTTGTTTGCTATCGCTTTAAGAACGTTTGTTATTCCTATCATTTCTTTGTTAGCCATTACCCCTAAGCCCTGTTACAACCCTTGACTTCATTCTTAAGTGTTGTGTGTTTCAATTTGTGGAGTTCGAAATTGGTATGAGCATATGGTGTCACTGGTTCTCGCATCTAAGTAGTAGCATACCATTCATGAGATCATATCTAAACATGCTTAATAATTCCAAAAAATTGCTTCCTTTGTTATAACATATGTGAATCCCAGTCTCTAGTGTCGGGTGTGTAGTCAGAAAATGTGTGTGAAAATAGAGAGTATCTTGTAAGGAATTAAGCAAATTCTCTAAGGCATGTTACTACATTCAAAACATTGTTTTAATTGGTTAATTGTGAACTAGTAAGTAGTGACTGTGATTAAGTTTGTGCTCAAGTGTGAAGATAACCAAAATCTGTGGGAATGATGATTTTTAAGATGTCATGTGCATTGGAAATCCTTGAGGCAAATGTTGGAAGGTTAGGTTGTGTTTTGTATGTTTTGTTTCGTTTTGTTTCTTTTATTTTGCTCGAGGACTAGCAAAAGCTAAGTGTGGGAGAATTTGATAGGAGCATATTTATGCAACTTAGTTAGCTTGTTTCTTGGCATTTACTTAGTTTAATTCCAGTTATTTTAGTACTTTAAGTTATTTTCGTGTGTTTGTAGGTTCAAAGAACAAAGTTGGTAACAAAGTTGGTAACAAAGTGCTATTTGGAGCATTTTGCAGCTTTTTTGGGCCAAGATTGGATAGTGCAAGCATGGAGACATAAGGATGGACGTTTTTGAAGATTAGAAGACTAGAAATCAGCATGTGTGAGTGCAAGTGTGTTGACCTACAACTCCAAACATTCATCCACTACACCCATTACATCCACTCATTACCAAACACTCACCCACTACACCCAT